AATAGGGAGCCCTCTGCATGCCCAAATAAAAAGGAAGATTCAAATTAATAAATATAAGAAAGGTAGTGACTGTCCTATACAGCAGTCATAAGATCCACCATTACTGAATTGGTAATTTATGAGTTGGATCACATTTAGAAACTAATCATTTGAACATCATGTGAACTTGTTATTTTATTATAGCTCCGACTGTAAAGTTTGGTTAGTTGGCAGATTGGTGTGGGAAAGGGAGAGAGGCCTTTGATGCTCACAGCTTTCTTCCTTTTTTTCCCTTCATAATGTTTATCTTTCATTTGTGTAAAGAGAAGTGGTGAAAGAAACATATATAATAATGTAAACATTGCAAACTGATTTACTGTCAATATAGAACACTGACATTCTCACTTTACAGTAACATGAGCAGTTTTGTCTTCAACTGAGTATTTTACAAGCTTGCACAATAGTGCTTCTATTAACTTTTAAAACCAGAAATGTTCCAAAATTGTTGGGTTTTTATTTTATTTTTTAAATACAGTTTATTAATTTTTACAATTAAAACCAGTCACAATACATACACAAATAAGCAAAAGAAAGAAAGAAAAAAAGAAAGAAGAAAGAAGAGGAAGAGAGGGAAAGAATTTTGAGAAAAGAAAGAAAGAAAGAGGTTACAGGATTAAAAGTATTCTTATTTTAACAGTTTGCAAGATCTTCTTTTGTTTTCATCACCTTAACTTGTGTCATATAACCACACCTGTTTTCAACTTATATTGTTACCTCGTTATTATGTATTGATACTTTTCTTTTATGCCTTATAATATATTATTTATAATATATTATTATCCAATTATACCAACAATTCCAGCTATCATAGTATAGTGAAGTGTCTTTGTTTTTTAGTGCCAAAGTCAATTTATCCATTTCTGCGCATTTTGAGATTTTTTCAATAATCATTTCTTCTGATGGAATTTGATGTTGTTTCCAGTGTTGAGCGAAGGCTAATCTGGCCGCTGTTAAAATGTGTATTGTTATGTATTTGGTTTTTTTGGAAATTTGCTTATCAAAAATCCCTAGTAGGAAGGACTCTGGTTTGTATTCGATCTGCTCTTTGGTGATTTCTTCCAACCAAGTTTTGATTTTCTTCCAATACTTTTGGGTTTCTGCAGAAGACCACCACATATGGAAAAAGGTTCCTTCTTTTTTCCTACACTTCCAGCAATGCGGACTCATGTTGGGGTGCATCTTCGCTAACCTCGAAGGGGGGAGATGCCATCTATAAAACATTTTATAAAGATTTTCCTTGTATGCTGCCGATTTGGTAATCTTATTGTTTCTGCCCCAAACTTTCTCCCATTCCGCTAATGTGATGCTGCGCCCTACGTTCTTACTCCAAGCAATCATATTCCCTTTTTCGATTTCTTCTTCTAGTTCTGTTTCTAATAAGTAGTTATAAAATTTTGTTATGTTTTTTTTATTTGATCCTAATAAAATTTTATCTAACTGTTGCAGTTTGTTATTAATTCCGAATTCTTTTTTGTCTTGTTTATATCTGCTTTGAATCTGAAGGTAAACCCACTGATCAATTTTATGTCCTTGCTCTTGAAGATCCAGCCTCGGTTTCAAATTTCCTTGTGGGTCTAATAAGTCTTTGTATTTAATCATTTTGGTAAGCTCCAAATTGTTTGGGTGAATCATTGCCTCCATTGTTGAAATCCATACTGGTACTTTTGTATAATGTTTTTTCCTTATTTTCCTCCAAATTGTTAATAGTGCGTCTCTAATTAAATGTCTATGGAAATATTTTTGACTGGTTTTTAGGGTATATATTTGTTATCATCTATTAAGAGTGAGATGGCATGAGTATGCTTGACTGATATCACTAATACTGCAAATTAAAATAATGAACTGTTATTATTTGTGCTTAAGATTAAAACCCACATTTTCTGCTATTGCTTTCTATTTTTGAAGCATCTATTGTCAGTTTTCTAATGTAGCTTCACAAAAGAAATGTAATCATCCAATCTAATAATTCTGATGATAAATCCTGATTCAAAGCAAGGCCATCTTTACTATAATTCTCTAACAATCTACCCAATCCACATCATAAAAGAACAAATGGTACATTACACCAGTGTTGCACAAGTGGAAATGGCATTTCAGTTTGATTTGTAGCATGCTGGAATTACTATCCTTAAATAGAAGTAGTCATTATACAGTGGTCCTTGTCCTTCTGTTCTTATCAATGAGCTAGATAAATATAGGTTTCGCTAGATTTTTAAATAGCAGTAGGCTTAGACACAAGCCTAAAAAAGAGCTCAGAATACATCTGTCATTTTGTGATGAGATTTAGGGGAGAGGGTTGCTGCTTTAAAACTAATGCAAATACAGGCAGTCCTCGACTTACGACACAATTGAGTCCAACATTTCTGTTGCTAAGCGAAGCATTTGTTAGGTGAGTTGTGCCCCATTTTATGACCTTTTTTACCACACTGGTTAAGCGAACCATTGTGGTTAAGTTATGACACAGTTAAGTGAACCTGGATTCCCTATTGACTTGTCAGAAAGTTACAAAAGATGATCACATGACCCTGGGACACTGCAACCATCATAAATATGAGACAGTCGCCAAGCGTCTGATTGATCACTTGACCATGAAGATGCTGCAGTGATCATAAGTGTGAAAAAAGTCTCATAACTGACATTTTTCAGTGATATAACTTCGAATGGTCACTAAATGAACTGTTGTAAGTTGAGGACTATAAAATGTTGGTTTCAATGTCCCTTGATAGTACGGATCAGAATGTCAACCCTCATTCCTTATTCATTCCTATCATGTGTTTGGAATGGTAATGGCCCCAGTGGATAGTTTGAAAACCCATGATAAGTTAACTTCGTTGAATGTTGTCGATCTTGTCCAGAAGAAAAGAATTTTTTTTTTTACAGAGGACTATAACCAGTAAGTGCTAGCCTCCAAAGCAAAAGATCCAGATAGGAAATCATTTTGATTCAGTTTAGATTCAGTGAGACCAAATAAACCAGGTAACTCTTTTTTATTTATTCCATTAATTTCAAAAACGTAAGTATGGCTAATTTAATTAGGTTGGGTTTGAAAATGTGCAAAGTGTTACAATTAATTTTATACATGTTTTTTTTCCATAACACAAACTATTTAGTAAATACTATTTATCTTAGAAGTACTTGCAAGAGGGAGCCATAAGCTCATTTTACTAGGTTGGATTTGACATATAGCACAATGTACAAAACAGAAATCTGTTGCATCTGATTCTTGACAGTTTTTTCCCATTGGTGGGAGCATTTGGAATTTCGAATAACGTGAAAGACCTGGTAAACACTGATTTCTAAATGTGTTGCTTTGCCATTTCTGTTCACCATGTCACAAATATTTAAAAAAATCACAATGCAAAAAGATAAGTAAAAATAAGTAAATTAGTTTTTAGAACATGGATAAAGAAGTGGGATCGGAGCCTCACCACAAACATCTCAGTTAATTTTTAACCTCCTGTTAATTAATCATCATGAAAATATATGGCTTCATCAAAACCCAAATAGAGTAAATGCTTTCTCTACAGTCTCTCCGATTTCCTAGTCCCATTTGTTCCCCTGCCTCGCTGTCATCTCTAAATCTTGCTCCTTTTTAAGGCACCTTCAATGCTAGGAGTCTTTTCCTTCCCTCTGCCTCCCAGCTGGCCAGGAGAACTTAAAAGCAAGAGTGTGCCTCCAGCCACTCCTGCCTTTATTTCTGAAGAATTTCTCTGAGTCTCATGGGAGCCAGAGGCGTTCTGTGGAATAAAGATGGCAGACAGCATGGAGGGTTAGCTCATTACTTTGAAGTCGTTCCCTCACATAAAATAAATTGCGGATAATACCAAAGTACTTTGTAGACAGAACAGAAGGTGCCTGTGGATATCATGTTGCTTTATCCAGGCATATGCCTGCTCACATAATACAAATTTTACATTCAAGAGGTCCACCCCCCCTTTTTTTTGTATAATATAGTGAAAAACAATTTCAAGATGAAGGAACAAGAAAAGACACAGCAAACCTTTCTCTTAGCAATCAGTTTAGGCTGTTATGTTGCAATGCATTTTTGATGGACTTCCATTATACATGCTTTGTTATTTGTACAGTGCATAATAATACAGAACGGAGGAGATCTGAAGCTCTCTTGTGCTATTTGACTAAACGTTTTGGTATCAGAAGAAGTTGAAGCTGTACAGCAGCGTTAATAGTTTTAAGTTAATTCTTGGCATTACTTTAAAACAATTATGCAAGATCTATCGCAAGTACTCCTGTTATCTTATCTGAATTGCCATTCATCCTGTAAATGATTTAAACATACACTATTCCATTATTGTTTAAGAGAGATAGAAGAGGATTCTGTTAAATATTTGTACTATGAGTTATTTTAGTTGCTTTGAGCCAGTTTAGAAATTTTGCACTTTACAGGTTTTGCTTCAATGTGTCTTTAGTTCCCAAATGAATCACATTCCGTATTTGCTGACTAGTCTGTTCTGCATAGTTGAATGGAAAATGGATAATAGATCCACAGTATTTTGGATTTATATCATATTGCAAAATAAATGCAGTTCATTGGGAAAAACAATTAATCTTGGGGTCTCTTGTTATAGATGCATTTCAGTTTGGCACCTAAGTTATAAAACACAGGAAGCTGTTTTAGATTCTCAGTAAATTGGTCCCACTGGCCTAATGTTGTCCTTATAGAAGAAGCAATAAACATGAGCTTGCAGAAGTTTTTATATTATTTTTTCTCTGTTAGCAAAGTAATACTGTATGTCTTATTCTACATAATACAATTATTGGCTTGCCAGGGTGGCTGTAGAAAGGAACTGGCTGCTTAGTGAGAGGAAGGGGGAGACTTATTTCAGGGGTAACTGTCACAAAGGAACTTAAGAAATCCATGAATGGTGCAAGCAGAGTTTCTTTTATTTTGTTTGCTTGTAATTCTGGAAAAACAGATTGCATTTTTTTACATATTGTTTCAGGGTTTACAAGAGGAGATTGAAAGTTACCACAATCAGATGCACTCTGCAGAAGAAAAGCTGCAACAGAAAGATCTGGAGGCACAGGAACAGGTATAATACTTTTGCTGAGAGATTTCTGCTTTTTAGAGAAATGCTATTTTTGTATTTATAAAGATAGTATAAAATATTTATTTATTTAGGCTATTAATTTATCAATCTTTTGGCAAGCTGTACTTTCTGAGTGGAATTTATAAAAAGGAGATTGATTCAGATTTGGTGTATACAGTGCTTGGTTTCATATGTCCTGAGTCTCATGTTATACATTTATTTTTAAAATAAATAATTGTGGGGACATATATTAAACTATGGGTCAGCATTACAAACATGAGCACATATAAGCCTTAGATTCACTTGCTGTCCCTTACTTCTTGCCTGAGAAATTCTACTTGGGATATCTGGGGTTGCTTAAACCATGATTACTTCACAAATTAGAATTTTAAAATGTTGTTTAAATGAATGAAATTATGGCCCTCTGGTTGATATCTAGTGTTGTCTATCTGCCAGCAGAATTGACATTATGATGGGGCATTCTTTTCTGCATCTCTCTGCACAGTTCTAAAATCAAAGGGTTTCCCGGCCTCCTGGATTAGATTTGCATGGTGTACATACAATGCATGAAGGGAAGAAAGGATTTGCTCTGTTGTAGAAGCAGCTGTCTATTCGAATATCTTTAGATGTTGATGTAAAGTGGAAATAGAAGCTTTAAACTTCTAGTATATTCATGTAGTAGCTTATATTTTAAATGATATTTCACTTTTTCTTTCTTGTAGTCACGTTCCTGATCTTTGCCTTAGGGTAGGGTTTCCCAACCTTGGGAATTTCCAGGAATATGGACTTCCTGGAATCCTCAGAATTCCACAGCCAGTACAGCTAACATGACTATTGATGAGAATTTTGGGAGTGGAAGTCCACATCCTGGAAATTCTCAAGGTTAGGAAACATTGCGTTGTGAGCTTATTTAAAGTCCTAATTCCTTTTATTCTTAATTATCTGTAATAATAGTTATCTCCATTTATAAGAAGGAACTTGTGGTAAGAATTTATACACAGCAAACAAACATAGGTAGTTCTCATTTAATAATTTATACACAGCAAACAAACATAGGTAGTTCTCATTTAAGAATGGAAATAGGGACAAGAACTTCCACTACTAAGTGACATTGTCGTAAAGCGCAACATGACACAATACTGCTTAGCAACAGCACTTCCACTTGCTGTTGCTAAGCAAACTGTTGCAGGTCATTTGCAAGGACTTCACATGGTTGTCATTTGAGACTTCCTACCAGCTTCCTCATTCCTTCCTTCCTTCCTTTGCTTGTAAGAGGTTGTAAATGATCACATGACTATGGGGAGTGGGGCTGTAATGTTGTAATTGAATTACATTACTGAGCAATATACACATGAGGTCCAGTCATATCCATCACGCATTTAGCATCATCATAAGTTTAAAGGCTCACTAAAAAGTGGTTGTTAAACAAGGGCCACATGTAATTGTGAATAAAACCCAACTTTTGCAACGTATTTGTTGACTGTGTGTCTCTTATCCATCCCCTACTGGAGTGACTTCATGATATTCATGCATTTTAAAAGAAAAAAAGTGTGGCATGAACACCAATAAATTTCTTTCTTATCAAGCACTTAATTTTGTTGCATGTTAAGAATACTATTCAAACATTTAAAGCTTTTTCTAGAAAGGAAAAAAGTTAGCATCACTAATATACTTGCTTTATTTATTCAGTTTGTTGTTATGCCCAAAACCATTTCTCCATGCTTGTCTTAGAAGAAAATATAAGGATATAGATCAACAAGTTAGAGAACTTCCTTCTATGATATAGTGGCTATTATCTCATATCCATATTTATATGCACCCTGAAAGGAAAAAAGTATGTAACTATTTTAAATTCTGCATTTTCTTTCATGATTTACTTTATTATAATTTAGTCTATAATAGTACTATTTATGTCTGTTTAAGATAATAGGTTAGTACTTCAAATCCAATATTTCAGTTTCAAGTCAAATATTCAGTGTACTCAAAATAGGAAAGAAACAATAAAATATGGAAAAGAAGTTGCTTGAATATCTGGTACTCTCTGGTGCCCCACTTGAATTTCACATTCATGAACATGCATATTACTAGGGGAATTATTTAATGTAATTTTAATTCAATTCACAGCTAATATCTGGATTATATATGTAGTAGCATGATGTGAACATGAAATGGTAGAATCCTAGGAAGGATTCCATTTTTACTATTCCCATGTTTTTTTAAAAAAATAAAATAAAACTTTCTTCACTTCTATATAACACGGTGATTGGAAAAATTAAAACCCCAATGAAGGATAACTAGTTGATACTCATTTTATTTAGTGTCAGATAATTAATATTTATATTTTAAAAGTAGTATTTATAGCAAGGCTAAAAGGTACAGTATAAGTAAGGCCATCTAGGCAGATTTGTTTTAGGGTTTTTGGGGTTTTGAATGAATAAAAAATGTATTTTAGAACTAATATTTCAAACAAGAAAATATTTGTATAGTGAACGATTAGGGAATGAATAAGTAAAGTCATGCTATCCTTCTTCAAGAAATTTTATGTCTACCATATCAGCTTGAAGTATATACGTGCTCCTCATAGTTAAAGCTTTGGATCCAAAAGTTGCATTCATGTATTCAGACATGCAGTCATATAGAAAACACTATCTCCATAATTCCAGTTCCAGTCAGAACTTCAGTCTTACCAGGATCAACTGATTTTTTGATCCCTGCTCAACCCGTCACTACCACTAGGCAACTGTCTAGCTAGACTCTAGCACCTCTGATTCATTTTGAATATATTAGAGTTACCATGTCCCAAACTTGTAGATAGCAGTACCCAAAATATGTTAAGCAGGACAAGGGAAGGAACAGAATTCAGTGACATAAATAAGTTGAATAGGAATTTTCCGTAACTATTTTTTGTAGCAAGCCTGCAGTTAGGAACAGAGTTATTACAATGCAATGCTGCCTTTTTACTTCTCAGGCCATAGAGCTGCCCCATCAAGATTTCATGCTTAAGGAACCAGGTGCTGCTGAATAATCCAGGAAGAACAACAAATGTGACCAAATCTGTTTCAGGTTTGTATCCAAATCTGAAACCAGATTCAAACTGGTCAACCCAAGCAGCTTTCTTCAAATGCAGTCGTAGCTAACTAGCCATTTCCCAAGAAAGATATGTCTGTAATTGGTAGTTATTTTGTAAAATCCTTCAGGGACAGCTTCTTCATGAAAAGTTGAATTACACCATTTATTCCATAATGAGACATCAATTGCTACCTGGAAAATTCACCTATAAATTTGCCATCATAAAGTAAAATTCTGTAGCTTTAAAGAAAAAAAAGCTACCTTATAGAAAAAATTGACTTAGTAATGCACTTACCCAAATATTCTAATACAAATAATCCTTGACTTATGACCATAATTGGTACCAGAATTTTGGTTGTAAGTTGTTGCAGTTTTAGGTTGAGGCACAATGTGACAAGGCCGAGTTTTATGCTGTTTATTAAATGAATTACTGTGGTCATTCAGTAAACCATATGGTCATAAGTATGAAAGCATTTTATCCAATGGGAGTTTTATGCTGGAAAACTGCAAACAGTATCGCAGAACATGATCACATGACCACAGGTTGCAAATGTTCACAAGATGCCAAGTGCCCAAAATGCAATTACATGACTGCAGGAATGGTGTGGCAGTCATAATTTTGAGGATGAGTCATAAGCAGTGGTGGTATGCTCCTGGTTCGGCCCGGTTCTGCTGAGCTGGTAGCGGCAATGAGCAGCGGAGACCGAACCAGTTCTCTCGGCTACTCTGCTGTTGAGACCACCCACCCACCCGGGCTCCCTTACTCACCGTTATCTTCTGCTTTTGAAGCACAGCTGCTTTGTGCAGCACAGAAGAGTGCCGCTGCTGAAGCGACCGGGAGAGTGCAGGCTTGCAGGAGGTGAGTTGGAACGCCTCTGCACCTGTGCAAACACCTCTGCACTTGCGCAAAGTGCATGTTTGCTGTGCGCATGCACACAAAGTATGTGCACGCGCGCAAAGCATGCCCACCAAGCCACGCCCACCGAACCAGTGGTAAAAATATTTGAATCCCACCACTGGTTATAAGTAACTTTTTTCACGTCCATCGTAACTTTGAACAGTCATTAAGAGATAATTAAGGTGGTAAGTTGAGGATTACCTGTAATGTTCCATGGCATTTCTTTTTTCCAAGTCTGATTAGGGCTAGGAAAATTAAAAGAATATTTTACATCCTTTTATCTGAAGCAATTAATTATTTAGTGTTAACTATTCCACAAAGGAAGAATTGAATGGGCCACTTCAAAATGATAGCTCCCTTTCATTGTTGATCCTTATCCACGCTAACTACAAATAGATCTGCAGAAACCAGTAATGGTTATCATAAAAAAAACACCTAATTGGGACTCTTCTCTACTTCTATAAGATACTATTGTCTTGACATTTTAGAAAGGTTCAAAAATTCCTTTGGCATAGTTACAAAAGACAGTTTCATGGGCTTTTACAAGTCTGCATCAAGTAAAAAAAAGCTTATTTAAATGCTTGCTGTTTTTCATTAAAAAGAAAGTCTTGTGTTTTGATTCTATAACAACAACAAACAAATGAATGAGACATGAAAAAAACTGTGGTTTTAATTAAAAGCACAAGACTGTTTCTTATTATTTCTTATTGGGTGGTATCTTAGTTCTCCATGTTTGCCTTGTTTTTAAATGAGAACTGCCTCTAAGTTTATGCTCATATCTAACAAATTCACTAGAGAACAACCTACATGCTACATTGCAGCCATGTCCAATGAAGTCCTGATGTGTGTATTCTTGATAGCAGTGGTACAGCTACAGTGTTAGTGTAGGAGGAAAGTTGATTCAGGTTCAGTCTAGTTCAAACTGCTTATCTAGAGACTGAACAGGGGTTTTAGATAGAAATCTTGCTTAGCCCTACTGAATAACATTTTATACTGAAGCATGGATTTTCTATATATAACCTGCATCCTTGGTCAT